CCAAGTCACAGCCTCTTAACTTGTTCCCCAGTATGGGGTGGGATACCGCATCTAAGGCCTTCCTGAAGTCTAAGTATACGACATCCACCCCTCCTCCTGTGTCCAGGCGTTTTGTAACCTGGTCATAAAAAGAAACTAGATTGGTCAGGCACGATTTGCCTGCCACGAACCTGTGCTGGTTTCCCCTCATCATAATTTGTCCTGCCGGGCTCTCACAAATGTGAGCCTTGATGATTTTTTCAAAGACTTTGCCAAGGATGGAGGTGAGACTGACTGGCCTATAGTTGCCTGGGTCCTCCTTCCTCCCCTTTTTGAAAATGGGGACCACGTTGGCCCTTTTCCAGTCCTCCGGGACTTGGCCCGTGCGCCATGAGCTTTCAAATATTCCCGCCAGTGGCTCTGCAGTGATGTCGGCCAGTGCCTTCAGCACCCTCAGATGGAGCTCATCCGGGCCTGCCGACTTAAAGGCATCCAGTTCTTCCAAATGACTCTGCACCATCTCAGGGTCTACGCATGGTAGTCTGGCGCCTTGCTGCTGCCTCTCTACAACCCCAGTGAGAGACTTGTTGTGCCCCTCACTTAGGAACACTGAGGCAAAGAACTCGTTGAGGAGTTCAGCCTTGTCCCCTCTGTCCATCACCAATTGTTTCTGCCCATTTAGCAGGGGTCCTATTCCTCCCTGGGCCTTCCTTTTACTCCCTATATATCTAAAAAACAATTTCTTGTTGTCTTTTACTTGGGTTGCCATCCTCAGCTCCATGGCAGCTTTGGCCTGTCTAACTGCCTCCCTACAAGCACGAGCAGAGGAGGTATATTCGTCTTTGGTGATCTCTCCCTGTTTCCACTTTTTATGTACTCCCCTTTTGTCCCTTAGGCTACCCTGGATTTCTCTGGTCAGTCAGGGAAGCCTCCTGGCCCCTTTCCCCCTTTTGCCTCGCTCGGGGATCGTACACCACTCACAGAAAGAAAGGAAATGCAAAAATGGAATAAACTTGTATAAATTCTCTATGCCACAGCACCTACTACTTCATAGATTAAGTGGACTTACTGTCACTTAAAACATATTTATACTCTCATAAATGTCAATATAGTGATGATAAAATTTACTAAAAGATCCCTCTAAACACTGTAGGAAACTTGAAGACCTTGTGGTATCATAAATCTTCACTGAAAGAAAGTATCTTAGGTGTAAAGGGTTTATATTCTGTATAAGGAGAATTTTACCATTAGAGAGGAGTAATGTAATAATGGATTGTTGCCCATTAGAGTTCACTTTCGTAAATATATAGGACAATAATTTCTTCCTGGAAATTTAGCATACATAATAAAATATAACTTTTCATGACTTATTTTAGCATACCCTTTCTTTTGTCTTATATTTTAAATCTATCGCCTCAGTTCAATCCTAATGGGACATGTTTATTATAACTTATAAGAGCATGTAATGGATCAAGCTGGGATTTGATCAGTGCAAGTTTACAATTTTAGTTCAATGGGAACAGAATTCACCCAATACTGAGATCTTTTAGCAATATTATCTTAAGTTGAAAGAGACCCTACCCCTGTCCCCTTCTCCCCCACCCCCAATGTTGACAACCATCTTGTATAAATGAATATGAAGTCTCTTCAGTTTTTACAGGACTTCTAAAAGTACTTAAGGAAGTTTTAGGCACTCAAGTGTCACAGTCTGTAGTAATAGGGAACCTAAATCCTCTACTACTGCCCTCCCACAGCAGGGACCAACACGCCCAGCCCAAGCTTATACTGACCAAACCCCACCCTAGCCAGGCTCTTTAGGCCAAGTACAGACATTACATTTTGACCTTTATAAGTGATCGGAAACTGGTCTGTATCCATGACAGGACAGAAGTTTGATGCATAAAACTGACCTATACCTGTAATAGAACAGAAGATCATCACCCACAGACTGGTTTAACAAAGGCAGAACCCAGCCTAAAATTTATGTCCTGTTCCTTCCCTCCCCACCACCAAAGGGCGAATGTGTGTTTTATTTGCTACCAACTTAAGCTACACCACTTACAGAAAACCACATATCTTACATTGAGTCCGTCTCAGGCTTTGTGAACGTACCTGGCCCTAGTGACCAAAGGAGCACTTAAAGGGAGAAGGTTGGGTCCTGCTTATAGTGAAAGTAGGATGTGTACCTCAGCCTACGTAAGCAATTAAGTGTGCAATCATCTAGTACAGATGTCTAAATATGTATTTAACCATCTAAATTTATGCTACCACTTTTGAAAAACGAATTTGTAAAATTACTGTTCTTTTCCCAGTTTGAAGCTACCAGCATGATCTCTTTCCAAGACAGAGACCAGACATAAAAGTGAACCTTCAGACTAACTTTTGTAAATGTAGTACAGTACTTGAATACTTAGTCGAGATTTGAGTCAGTCTGTAAACAAAAGCAACCCTTCAGCAGGTGCAAACTTCTGCTCAACAGGATATTCTGTCACTGGAAAGGCTGGTAAATAAATTTCAGTGACATGATAGTGTTCATGGAGATTCTGTAATGTGAGAACAAACAGCCTTTCACAAAATTCTGAAACCTGATATTCTTTCTGAAACTGAACTGTCAATTAGAAGGAAAAGAAAACTCTATTGTGTGATTCATTTACTGAACTCCCCACATTAGAGTAGGCAGCACAGCATGGCATTTCCTTGGTGCTAGCTTACGTAACACCAAGAATCTCTTTCAAGATCTATAGTAGTTTTTTTTCCTTTGTATTTTCAAGCCATATGTTTATTAGTTTTTAACAACTCCACTGGAACAGCTGGACTCTATACAATAATAATATTACTTCAAATTATTCAGTGGAACAAAGGAAATTAACTACATGCAATCCATTTATAATACCTTTATTTGGACAGGTTTTATGTATTTCAACTCTTTCATTTCATAGTAATGAACATTAAAATTTTTTTTTTTACTTAATCTTCTTTGGTCTGAGCAAACAAATATGCCCCAACACTTGTTTAATTATAGCTATGAACAGACAAACTGACTTGGCAATAGTAAGAATCTATGATCTTTTCCTAACCAAACCTTTATAAAGATTAAAAAATCTTTGAGTCAAATGGTTTTTCCTCATCTCCTTCCATCAATTTGCATTTCCTGATTTTGGGGTGGAACAGAATACAACTAGAAGTGGGGAAATACAGAAGATAATATCACTCTTCCTGGATTTCCAACTCAGGTGAAATCACAACCTTTCTAAAATATTGTGTGGGAGACAACTGAGAGATTCCAAGCTTTGTTTTGAGCTTTCAGTTTTCTGGGTGGTGTTTTTTCCCTGCTTATTTGCTGTTTGTCATGATGATTAAAGGTTAATTAATCAAATGGGAGTTGGTCTACTGGGCATTAGACAATCAAATTGATCTAATGAGGTAACAAAGATGGCATAAAGACCAAATTGTGAGATAAAACCAGAGGCAGAGACTAAAGACTAGGCCCAGCAAATACATTGGCTAGTATTCTCCTTCTCCGAGTATCAAATATATATGTTTATGTTGTAAAGTCAGTTAGGATACTAGTTTGAATGATCAATTTAAATATATGCAAAGTGCTTGCAAGTTGGAGGGGGACTAGAAGGGAGAGGAGAAAGAAACCAATTCCCTTCACATACTACAAAAATGCTGGGAGGTAGTAGATTTTTATAAACACATTGACTAACACTGCCTGCAGATTCTGAGATCATTTCCGTACAGCTTCAGAAATCATTATCTGTTTTTGCTGCTTTGCACTCTCAAGAAAATAAGCAAACCAAAGCATGACCTATCCAAATCTATCATTTGAATGCTGGAATGGAAGGACAGTTGCAGAGGAAGGAAGGGCCTAATGCTTCTACATGCTTTTTCACCAAAGGGATGCAAGTCACAACACAGAATGGCAACTAGGTTACACAAATAACTGTTCAATAAGAACAGGCAGTATTCACTAGCACTGCTGTGAATGGCACAATCATTTTCAGCCTTTTCTGTTGGATTAAATCCTCTCACAACTGACAAGACATTATTAATAATGACTCGTCCACAAGCCCCAAAACTCCCAAACACCTAGTCTGATGGTACTACTTACAGTAATAGCATTAACAGCTCAAGAGGTGAGATTAGCTTGTGTTGCACCACATAGCCAGCTGAAATACTCCACTTCAAGGGAGTACGCTTTGAACAGAGGTTCACTGTATTAAAACCATTCGTGTCAGAAGATCTTTCTGTTTGACTTCTTTCAACTTTCTATCTCTATGAAGTTTTTCATAATATATATATTTTTTTATTTCTACTCTGGCACCTACTTTATAAAGCTATTAAATATTCTTACCAATATTAGGGTGCTTCAAAAGGCGACAAATTCTGGCTTCCCTTTCCAACTTTTGGTGATCTGTAAGAAAGGAAAACACAGTTATAACTTTCAGGAGGAAAACACACCATCCTACACGTCACTGCAAGTGGAAAAAAACAAATGATATAATATGTAAAATTATGTTTAAAAATGTATCCTCTTTCTTCTATTTAGAGTCACTATTATTTTACATTCAAATCGCAGGCCACTCTGAATTAAATCACTATACCCACCCCATCCTTTGACAAACAGATCAAGGTATGATGATGTTAGAAAATTAAGCTGCCTTTTCAGTGGATGAATGGAAAGTAATCACACCACAACTTATAATTATCAGATAATAAACTATGATTATAGCATTAATCAGAACAA